ATCTCCTTGAGCTACTTAGCGCCTGGCTTTTTGCCAAGGCTGGCTTTGAACTCGTGAACCTCCTGCCTCAGCCTCGGGCTTCACTGGGATGACAGGCGTACACTACTGCTCAGCCCCCCACAATTTTTGTTCTCAAAAGATTGGCTCTACCTAGGAAAACAAGACCATTCAATGTGACTTCCCTGAATTTTTAGTCAGTTAAAAATCTCGCAATACATTTCCTTCCCACTCTTTCCTTAGATTTGGCAACTCAACCTGTCTGCCTCTCTCCCTCTTGATCAACCTACCAATGACCTCTCAGACTTTAATTCTTTTGGCATCTCCTTTTTAAATTAGATAATCACATTTTCATTTTTAGTTTTCCTCAATCAGCTCATTTTTCTGAAAACATGCTTCAGTCCTGACAACTACCCCCACCCCCCAAAAAAATCTGCTGCCTTTTTTCTCTTTTTTCCTATAGTGCTGGGGATCAAAGTGCTCTACCTCAGCGCTCCATACAGCCTTTGATTTACTGTTCAATATTGCTACCATCTCCTCACTCTTTAACCCCTCTGGTTGACCTTTGACCTCTCCTTCTTTTCAGGGAACAAGTTCTGGAGTCCAACCCGGAGCCTCGCACATGCTAGGCAAGGACTATGTCACTGAGTTTTATCCCCAGTCCTGTCCTCTCCATCTTGAACCTTCTGTGTCACTTAACATTGACAACCTCCCCTCTTTTTTATTTGCATTACATGCTTCTGTTCTCTTTTGTTTCTCTCCTCAGCACTCTGATCATTTTTCTTTTGTCACTTGCCAACTTTTCCCAGTCTTCCTGTCTTGGGATCTCTTTCTTCAACTTTCTCCATTGTGATCCTATCTATTTCTATGACTTTATTTACATTCATGTGAAAGTCCAAAATTCATACACTTTTCTCCTAAAGTCCACATCTGCATTGCCTACAACCCTAAAATTTCAGATATGGAAGAGATCTCAGAGGCCATGTGTCCTAAGTCTTCATTGCTTGATTATCTCCACCAAAAGGTTTGGTACAAGGGATTGAACTCAGGGGCACTCGGCCACTGAGACACATAGCCAGCCCTATTGAAGTGGCATCCCCTTTCTCCACAGAAAAGCCCTCTTCACCATGGCTGATTTTAGGACTGTCAGCAAGAGTCTCTGCAAAAAAGTTTAGTGTAGATAAACTTCCTATTTTCGTGTCTCCCTGTTTACTTGGGCTACTGGCCGGGGAAGATACTCCAGGTGCTGGACACCCCTTACTAGTTTTTCACAAATGTATCCAGTATAGTACTTTGTAGAAATGTGCAAACAAGGTCTCTGGCCTTGAGCTGGGCTTTACAGAGATGTCTACATTTTTAAGATGTTACAAATGGGCTCCATGGTAACAGCTGGCAGGGGAGGAAAGAAAGAGGAGAAGAAGCTCTCCCCTTCTCAGGTGTGGTCCTTGAAGAGTTAACTTGCCCAGAACAGTGAGAGAAAAAGCTGCTTTTGTGTGAACTTCTGCAGACTGTGAACTTCTGAGCCCCTCCCCTTACACGCTGGGTATAAAACTCTGAAACTCCCTGAACTCGGAGTTCAGAGGATTGATGGATTACAGCAAAAGCTGTGCCCCCTGAACCTGGCTGCAGCCAAATAAAACTGTTTCCTGCTATCTTTGGTGCCTTGCCTCCTTTGTCCCTACAACACTATTTTGTATTTTGCTTAGAGACAGGGTCTCACTGAGTTACTTAGCGCCTAGCTTTGAACTCCTGCCTTGGCTTCCCAAGCCACTGGGATTACTGGCCTGCACCACCTCACCTGACCAAGGTCATTGTCTTTTAATGAATCAGTGCTTTGGAAACTGAGATGTTCATTTTCTCTGTGTCCATTTCCATTCCAAATTAACTCCTTTTCAATTTGTTTCTACAAATGTTACCCCTGTTTATGGGTGAAGAGTCTTTGCTTCCCCAATGCTGAAGTTTAACACCAGAGAAGCATGTAAGGGAAGTGGAGAGTGGAGAGTGGAAGCTTTATTAAAGGATAGCAGAAAAGACTTCTCCCCGGAGGAAGAAGGGGACCCAAGAGGTGGGATGCATGGAAGGGGGAGGTCTCCTTCTTTTATAGCTAAGGTCTGCTTTCAGCTTCCCCACATTCCTGTCCTTTGTTCTCTGTTATCCTGCCATGATGGAAATACAGGTGGGGATAGGTGGGCTGAAGCAGTAATCTAGGGCCTGGGGCAGCTTTTGGATTAGCATCTCCAGTTTGCTGGCAGCTGCTTCATTAACATTTCCTTAGGATGGGCTGGTCCTTGGGGACATTAACATTTCAATTTCCCCAAGTGCTGCTCTGGTTTCCTGGATTCCAATCTCAATAATGGCCTTCATTTTATTTATTTTACCCGATTTAGACCCGATTTACCTAACCCCACTGAAAGACCCTAGCCCAGTTAGCCCAGTTACCTAAGACCAAGATATGAAACCAAGATACCAGGCACCAGGCATGCTCTCCGGACAACCGGTTGAAGAACAGAGCACCCGCATTCTGAGGCATGAATGAATAAACCGGAACAGATAAGCAGGAACAGAAAGAATAGAATACAGACCTATGGTTTTTGGAATGCAGACCTGTACCCCCTAGGTGGCCTATATGCTAGATTTAAACAAACCAATAAGAAACCTGTTGCTTCCCGCACGCGCGAAACCTGTCCCAAACCCTATAAAAATCTCTGTATCCCCAAGCCCGGTGTGCCAGTTCACCAAAGCTCCGGCTGAGGTTCTGCTGGGCACCCGCAGGCGCCTGTGTCCCAATAAACAAACCTCTTGCTTTTGCAGCCAGTGTTTCGTGTGATTCTCCTTGGACAGGGATACGGGGGTCTTTCATTGGACGGGGGTCTTTCACCACTAACTACCTATCTGTAAATCTGGCTTCACAAATAGTCACCTAGAGGCAAACAACTTTTTTTTTTCTAGATATTATTAATTTTAATTACTTTGAAACAACAAAATTTAATAACAAATGTTTAACAAGCATCCATTATAACTGCAAAACAATGAAATTAGCATTATTTTTTTTAAAGAGAGGGTGAGAGAGGAGAGAGAGAGGAAATTTTTTTTTTTAATATTTATTTTTTATTTCTTGGCGGACACGACATCTTTGTTGGTATGTGGTGCTGAGAATCGAACAGAGCCGCACGCATGCCAGGCGAGCGCGCTACCGCTTGAGCCACATCCCCAGCCCTAGCATTATTTGTATCTGATCAGCTATACAAAAAACTCACTAATTTTTCTTTGGACAAAAGGTAGTAGAAATCCCAAACAACAGGGGAGAAGCGACTTTGCTAAACTAGCACCATGACTCCAGTCAGCTGGAAGGAAGGGTGGGGAAGAGGCAAGGCTGTTGGACACATAAAGGGTAGTTCTTAACTTATGGCCCCACTTTTGCTCTGAGGCAATACTGGATCTATCAAAGAAGAAAATTGCTGTGGCTGGAGATGAAAAGATGAAAACAAAAGCTTTGGGATCAGATGGTACAGGAGGCCCCTGAGGGGCGGCAGAATCAGAGTATCCAGAACGTAGGGCTGGAGCGGGCATCAGGAACTACGGGGTTTCTTCTGGGCTTCCAAATCCTTTTTAATCTCTTCAAGTTTTTTAGCCAAGTTTGGTGTGTCATAGTTCCGAGCCAGATACATTCCAACCACGTTGCCAAAAGTAAATCCAAGCAGGAACTGAAGCATGCTGTCTGTCGGCCGAGAACACAAGGAGGGACAGAAGGGCAGCTACAGCTCCACAGGCCTGTCCTCGCCTGCCTGCGCGGGCGCGAAGGCCTAGAGGCAAACAACTTTTCTATGTTCAATCAACCGCTATCTTGTAGGTCCCATTGTCACAGACACTCTCAATTAGGTTTACTGTTTTGTATTCCTAAGTTAAATCCCAATTATTTCCTACCTAAAATTTGCAGGAGAGTCCAGGCTAGGCTGCCTATTGCTAGTATTTTCCTGCTTGGAATTCTAAATATTTCTCAAATTCATTGTACCAAGTTAATCCTCCTAAAGGGCAGTTCTGTTTTGCCAATCTCTGTCCTACATTATCTTTCGTTTGTTTATTTATTTATTTAATGTGGTACTGAGGATCAAACCCAGGGCCTCGAACATGCTAGGTGAGCACTCTACTGCTGAGCCACAACCCTAACCCCTAAAGCTCATTTTTAATATCACTTCTGTCATTAAGTGTTTTTGGGGACTGATGAACCCAGCCTAATCCATTTTAAGATTGAGAGCCATCGCATCACAAAGTCATAAAAAGTTAATATTTCTGTTTTACTGTAAATTACTGAGATTTCTAAACTTGTTTGGAAGTCCTGCCCATGCTCTGAACTCGCCCAAGCCTGGCTTTCCTTGACAAGATAGCAACCCTCCTTGAAACTTCAGTGGCGCCTCATAAATTCTGATGTTGGGATCTGAATTTACTTCTATCTTGAAATATCACACCATGTAGATCTTTAACCTGCTAGCTGTCTTTGTATTACACTTGCCAAAATCCTGTTATCTGTAAGTATTCAAGACACCCCCCCCTTTGCAACTTTTTGTGCTATAAAACCTTGTTCCTGTGTTATGCTCCAATTCGGGACCCCCAAAAGACCACTAGAGACCAAGATCGATGTAAGCAGCAAAGAGGCGTTTATTTCGAACTAGCTGGGTCCTCCGCGCAAACAGCAACTGGTGATGCTGAGAGGCCCCAAGCCCAGGGTTTGCAGCAGTTTTATACACTCTCTGGGGAAGTCAGGGACTTCATATACATCATAGCATCTCTTAGCAAATCATCACACACCGCGGGAAAATTATAAAACAACTCTAAAACATGATTAGCACGTTCACTGGAGCAAGTTGGGTAGGGGTGATTGGTTAGTACAAAAGGAGGATTCATTTGAACTGATTGGTTTAAGCCAAGAGGGGTGTACGTGCTGAACTACATGGTTTCCCAACATGTTATCAACCAACACCATAAACTACTGGGGGTCATCTGGCATCCCAGGTACTTCCCTGTCTCATGCTGATTGGTGGCTGCTAGGGGGTTGCTATGGGTCCCCATGTAGCCTGACTGAATCAGGGACACCTGCCTCTCCTGTTATTTGTAGATAAACAACTCAGCAGGGTGGGTATGTGCCTAGGATTGCTCTGTGGGTCTTTCCAAGGACAAGGGTCATGAGTCCTTCCTCCGTTAGGCTTTGCTCTGAGGTAGAGTCTGGTTTCTCACCTGGAGAGCTGTGGTGCTGATCTCTAGCCCACCTTGGGGAAAGACAGTCCTTGGTGACCAGCTTTCTTTGTGTACACAATATAAGCTTGCTTTAATTTGATTTAAAATTGGAGTTGGTGGTCTTTTTTGTGTGTTGTGGTTCAACAGGACCTTAAACTGAATATGAGTCTTCCTTTGAACCTTTATAGAACTTTATACACACTTTTATTTCTATGCTTACCAGATTTTGCTTTATGGTAATAAATCATGGTAATAATCTGTGTATTCCAGTGTTTCTCAAACTATTGCATTAGAAGTGCACCAAATTATATAGAAAAATGAACAGAGAGCCCCAAAACTGTCACAGAAGCTGTCTAAAAAATTAAAATCTAGGGCTAGGGATATAGGTCTGTTGGTAGCATGCTTGCCTCCTTGCCTCACATACACGAGGGCCTGGGTTTGATCCCCAGAACCACCAAAAAGAAAAAAAAAATTTAATGTGAACCGTGCAGCCTTATTAGGCCAATTTTTTAAAAATAACTTTAGTTGTAGATGGACACAATGCCTTTATTTTATTTATTTATAAAATAAAGATTGAATCCACTGCCTCACATGTGCTAGGTGAGCACCCTACCACTGAGCTACTGAAAGACCCTAGCCCAGTTAGCCCAGTTACCTAAGGCCAAGATATGAAATCAAGTTACCGGGCTTGTCATAAACAGGCTCAGGCGCCCTCAGCTGGGCACCCGCAGGCGCCTGTGTCCCAATAAACAAACCTCTTGCTTTTGCAGCCAGTGTTTCGTATGATTCTCCTTGGACAGGGATACCGGGGGTCTTTCATTGGACAGGAGTCTTTAACACTACAATTCCAGTTCACAATTTTTTTTTTTTTTTTGAGAGAGAGAGAGAGTTTTTTCTAATATTTACTTTTCAGTTTTCGGTGGATACAACGTGTTTATTTTATTTTATGTGGTGCTGAGGTTCTAACCCAGCGCCCAGCGCATGCCAGGTGAGCGCGTTACCGCTTGAGCCACATCCCCAGCCCCCACAAAATTTTTAATATATTTTATTTTTTAGTTGTAGTTGCACACAAAACCTTTATTTTATTTTATTTATTTTTACATGGTGCTGAGGATTGAACCTAAGGCTTCGCACACGCTAGGCAAGTGCCTTACCACTGAACTATAACTCCAGCCCCCAATTTTTGTTTTCAATATAAATATGGCACACTATTCAACTAACACTCCAGGAAGATATGTGTATTTATTAATCCTAGGGATCTGGGTGACATGTGTCATACTCCAAAGCCCTTCCTTGCCACACCTCCACTAAAGTGTAATTTTGCTAAAAGGCACAGACTGCCTTATTGCTACATGTATCATCTGTAAAACCAATAAAGTACCGTACACAGATGTTATAGTATTACATACACAAAAGTATATTTAATATATATAAAAGTGTATTACTCATTTATCTTTAAATATTTATTTTTTAGGTGTATTTGGACACAACACAATGCCTTTATTTTTATGGGGTGCTGAGGATCCAACCTGGGTCCCGCCTGTGCTAGGCGAGCGCTCCACCGCTGAGCCACGATCCCAGCCCCAGTATAAAAGCATATTTAATATATAATTTTGTTTTGTTTTTTGGTGCTGGGCCTTCCACCTGCGAGGCAAGAGCTCTGCCAATGAGACATGTCCAAGCCCTTTCTCATTTTTTGAGACAGGGTCTCCTCAAATTGCCTCGAACTGCAATCCTCATATTCGCCAGTGGAGTAGGAATTTTAGGCACCAGCCACCTTGCCCGGCGCTAAATGTTTAGTGTACCTAGAACCGTGCTCCCAGTTTCCAGGAGTTTAATCCCATGGGATGGCCCTGACCGACTATGAAGCCCACCCAAATAGTGTTCTGAAAAACGACTCTGGTTGGGATTCAGGCTCTCCGTCCACACAGTAAGTGACACACCGAAAACTGTCGAGTATCACTTTAAAGTCGACTCACTTTGATCTCGAAATTTCATTTCTGGAAATCGATAATTTCCTGTTAACCTTGTGTAGAGCTTAATTCTCTCCAATTAAGAATACGGTCTGAGGGTCTGCAGCCTACTGAGCAGTGGGTGATTGGAGCTGCAGGAAGTCTGAGCCCGCCCAAGAAGCGGCCCTCCCTCAGGCGCCCGGCAGGCTTCCAATTGGGTCTTGTGGCTCACTCTCTTTCCAGGTTGGTGTTCCGGCTTGCCCGTCGCCGCTATAGAACCCGCCTTTAGCCAGCAACGATTGGTAAATCGTTACGTCACTGCCCCATCTATCCCCTTCTGATTGGCTCTCATAGGAAGGGGCGGTGGTAACGTCACGGGCCAGAGCCGCCATTTTGACTGAGCAACCATAGTGACAGGAGCCGAAGCAGCAGCGCAGGTTGTCCCCGTTTCCCCTCCCCCTTCCCTTCTCCGGTTAACTACCCGGGTCCCCTACACTCCACAGTCCCGGTCCCGTCATGTCCCAGAATCTAGAAGAAGAGAACCCTGCGGAGGAGACCGGCGAGGAGAAGCAGGTGAAAAGGAGGGGGTGCGGGTGGGCGAGCCGGGGGCGACCGTGATGGGGCGGGAGACAGTCTTTTGCCAGTGCGGATTGGTCGCCATGGGCTCAGGCTCTGCAGGGGTTGGTCACATCTTGCGTCACGAAGGGTGAGTTTCAGTACTGGCTGGTGTTTTGGCTTTGGTTAGTTAGGTCCCTTGTCAGTCAGGGCCATACCCTTACTGATTGGCCAGTACTTCCTGGGCCCAAACCGTGGAAACTCTGCTGTAATTGGCCGAGCTTGAGCGTGGGGCGGGTGTTTGGAAAGGGGCTGGTGGTCCCGGATTGTGGTGTCTCGTTCGGTTATGGAGGCGGATGACCCAGCTGCTAGCCTGAGGCCCGCGTCCTCAATCCGCGAAAACATGCCGGTGGAGGCAAAGCAGTTGAAGAAGAACTCGCGCGGGGGGAGGGGAAGTAATCCCTGCCGCGTCGAGTTCAAGTTGGCAACTTTCTTAGAGACCTGTGTTGGCGGTCGGGGATGGTCTGTCGTTCCCCTTCAGTGAGGACCACCAAGATTGGAGAGGACTAACTTAGGGCGCCGTGGCGCACGCCTGTCATTCCAGCGACTCCGGAGGATCCACGGCGAGGCCCTAATCGGTTTAGCAAGACCCTGCCCCAAAATAAAAAATAAAAAGGACTGAGGATGTGGATGGTTAAGCGGCCCCGGGTTTAATCCAAGGAATAGGACTAGGTTAAACCTAGAAAAAACGCTAACAGAGTCTTGACAAGAAAGACTGTTCCTCCAGATTTCCAAGGCAGTGGGACTGGGCCACCTTGATGATTGTGTGATGAAAACACGAGCGCTGGGGTTTGTATTTTCACTTATGATATTTAGTTTGGGCTCAAAGATTCATGAAATACACTTGGTGTTATAGCTAAGGGAAAATCCTCTAAAAAGAGCCACACATTGACTCCAGGTTCTTTAAAAAAAAGTAAAGAGGAGCAGGGCACACAAAAGCAAGAAGATGACAATGAGAGCCCCTGAAAGGCTTTTGGTCTCTCTGCATTCCCCAACTTCATCACTTGCCCCACTAAGATAGGCATTGTTTTTTTTCTTTCTTTCTTTCTTTCTTTCTTTCTTTCTTTCTTTCTTTCTTTCTTTCTTTCTTTCCTTTTCTTTTTATTTCTTTCTTTCTTTCATGAAAACTGACAAATAAGTACTAGTGAACCCACTGTTTCTTAATTTTCTTGAGGTTAAAAACTGTTTTCATCTGTAACTATGACCTTCCTACCACAATATTTGAAGAAATGTTGAAGCAATGCTGTGCCATTACTCAGGGGAAATCTTTGGAGAAAGCCACATAGCTAAGCCTCCTCCACAGGGAGATTTACCAGATGGGTTTCTTAGACTCTAAATAAGGAGAGAACATCTCAGAAGACTTATCTCCTTTGATTTCCCATTGGGCCTGCAGGACAGCCTTCGGAACCCTCCTACTCATCTTGTATCACCAAATGCTCCCTCCAGCTTTTTTCTCTTTGTCTTTCCTTTCTGTGCTGAGTGAGCTATGGCTCACTCTTATTCAAGTATTGTATTTATACATTACCTTTAACCCAGTACTCACAGGTCACTGGGTTGGTTTCTTGGGTGTAGCGTGAGAAGTAGCTTGTCTTCTCACAATACAGTCATCTTAAGCTTTAGTGGTTTGAACAAAAGTCTAGCTTTAAGAGCAGAGTACAGAGAGCTTGTTTATACCTGGGTGGATCTCCAGGAAAAGATAAATGGTTATCAGATATGGAAGCAGTTGTTTCTTGATCTATAATTTTACTTCACTCATTTGTTTTCTTTAGGACACGCAAGAGAAAGAAGGTCTTCTCCCTGAGAGAGCTGAGGAGGCAAAGCTAAAGGCCAAATATCCAAGTCTAGGACAAAAACCTGGAGGCTCTGACTTCCTCATGAAGAGACTTCAAAAAGGGGTATGGAGCACAATCTCTTACGTTCTTTCTTTGGACCAAAAAGGAGTTCTACGGATGATGTCTACAGAGGTTCTATTGGTTGTGGGGCAATTGAGAAGACAGGAATTAGAAACTTCAAAAGAGATCTGCTGCAGTGACACACACCTATAATCCCAGTGACTCAGGAGGCTGAGGCAGAAGGATTGCAAGCTCGAGGCCAGCCTCAACAACTTAGTGAGCCCCTGTCTCAAAATAAAAAATAAAGAGGGCTGGGAACGTGACTCATTGGTAAAGCACACATGGATAAAACCCCCAGTAGCAGAAAGAAAAGAAACTTCAAAAGAGGAAAAAATATATATATTGTACATCCCTGATATAGTATCAGTTCCCTTCTGGTCTCCCTCAGTTAAGGCTTAAATTGTGACATTTGGGTATGTGGAAGAACAAGGGAATGAGGGAAGGAGGCTCATAGAGACTGAAAATGCAGACTAGCCCAAGGCATTTGCATGTTTAAATGGTAGAGGTTTTAGGGCTGTGTTTTTTTTTTTGGGTTCAGAAATAAATTTGGGGGTATATTATTTCAGAGAAAGATCAAGCTATCTGTCTTATAGAAATCAACTTGGAATGACTAGTCAGTTTGTTCATAGACCCTTAAAGTTAGCACCAGCCATCAACTATAATCCCTCAAGAAACTTATTTTTCCTGTTCCAAGTGGTCTTTCTCACAAAGGGAAAATCTACCTTCATAACCATCTAGCTCCTAACCAGATTTCTTAGCCCATAGAGGTACCTTAAGCTGCTGAGGAATTGTAAGACATTATATGAGAATGTGCTTCTCTGGATGACATGGAAAGTGAAACACATCCCTGTGGAGAATCCCAATTATTGAGTCTTAGTCACAGATGATAATGTGATGCTGATTTGCGGTTTACCTCAGTGTAGGCAAGATAGGCGTAGGCAGGCTGTCGCAGCCATGGAACATGTGTGGGAGTGGTGGAAATCAGAGAGAAAACACATTATCCTCACCAGCAAGCCCAATTTCTAATCCTGGTTTACGAGAATAATTTTTGAGGTTGATCTACTGCTAATTACTGAGACCAACCCAGATTGACCCCTTTATTCATCTTATTCATTTCTTTGTAGCACCACATTATTGCTTTGCACCTAGTAAAGTCCTCAGTCAGCCTTTATGAATGAAGTAAGTTATTTGGGTTAAATCATCCTGTACTAAGTAAGGTTCCAAGGATGTAGGACTGTCCCTCAGCTCTAAAAATGCAAATTCTTGCTGGGAACCTGCTTATATACCTGAAAAAGAACATACTGGGGAGAAGACATAGGCACACATTGTTGTTTTTTGGGGTTTTTTTAGTTGTAGTTGGATACAATACCTTTATTTTATTTATTTTTTATGAGGTGCTGAGGATCAAATTCAGGGCCTCACATGTGCTAGGCGAGTGCTCTACCACAACCTTAGCCCTGTACGTGTTGTTAATACTAAACGGTGTATACATGAGAAATTTAAGAGATCTGAGTGTGTATGGGAGTTTATAATGGATGGAAGGTGTGAATCTTCTTGCTTTTGAGAAATGCCAGAACTCCTTACTCACCTAAACCTTCCTCTTGTTTCTTAGCAAAAGTACTTTGACTCAGGAGACTACAACATGGCCAAAGCCAAGATGAAGAATAAGCAGCTGCCAAGTGCAGGACCAGACAAGAACCTGGTGACTGGTGACCACATCCCCACCCCACAGGATCTGCCCCAGAGAAAGTCCTCACTCGTCACCAGCAAGCTTGCGGGGTAACCTGGGACCCCTCTCTTCCCCTTCCTCACCCTCTGGACTCTTAATATATTGTAGGCAGGGATGGAATGGGCACATAGTCACATCTTCTCATCTTGCTAGCTAGGAAGGACTTGAGATTCTGCTGGGGGATACTGAGAAGGTAATGTAGGTTGAAGAGGGGCTCCAAGTTTGTTTCTTAGTGGCTGAAACTTCCATACCCTCACTGTAGCCCAGGTAGGTGCCTAGAAATAGGAAAGACTAGGATTGGATAATGCTGCATACTTTTTCTTTTGTGAGAAACTGGAAAGATATGATTTCTCCTTTTTAAAAGAGAATGTCTCCAGATTGGGAATAATGTGGCAGGTTTAACATCCTAAGACTAACCTGACATAGTTGGGAAAGGTAGATTGAGACATGTTTTCTGTGCTTCTAAGTGTTTTGTCCCGTTAGGCTGCTATTGCTTCATGTTTTCATTATGGGAGGTTTAGAGAACCCGCAAAAAGGAAAACTGATTTGCTTGCCTAAGACTATAGTGCCCACTTAACCTCCTTTATTTAGTATCTCTTACAGTTTGTCCTGGCTTGCAAATGATGTAAACTTTGATGAACATTTCTGATGGAAAATGGGCACCTACTCTCTCTCTTCCAGCATGTTACTTTTGAAAGTTTTGTTGAATAGTGGATCTAAGAGCACTGATTCAGGAGTCAGGGATGTTTGGATTCTAGTTCGACTCAGTGTTGGCAAACTGTTGTATAACTTGGTAACGTCATTCAGCCTCTCAGCATTTCTGTTTCCTCATCTGTAAAATAGTTAAATATGTATAGGACTGATTTGATCCTAAAATTCTTATCTGCCAGCAGAAAAACTTTGTGCTAGTTCATCATAAAACCAAAAGTGAGAAAGGCCCATGGGGGAACCTCTGCTTTGTATTACTGGGAAAATACTACAGAGGGGAACTAACTATTCAGGGCTACATGAAAAGGAAGTTTGAGATTTGAGGGCTTTATTCAGGCAACAGAAACTTATAGGTATCATGGTTTTGAGGGTCAAGAAAAAAACATAAGACGCTAGCCAGTGAAGATTTTTACCTCTGTTCCACCCACTTTCCCTGCCTACTCTGGGTCTTAGCTGCTAAAAAGCTGCTCTGGCAGAGTTGGTGGGCCTGAAGAAACATGCTCAGTCAAGCCCATTTGAAAACCCATGTTTTTAGATGTAATTAGTTGCCAGGTGCATTATTAGGGAGAGAGAAAGAAGGGATAAACTGAGCTATTCCCTCCCCCAGAACTAAGTTCTACTGCAGGACTGGGGCAGCAGCTTCTTAGGAGTTCATTCGCCCAGGAAGCTGGGAAAACTTCCTTTCTAGAGCTCAGTAACCTAGCTTTTGTATGATAAGGAGAGGTAGCAGTGCTGATTCAGGAACAGGTGTAAGGTTCATGGTGACAGCATGTTCAATCTGGTTACTAACAGCTTGGCCTGAATCTTACTGAATTCAACCTGCTAGTTATGACAAAGAGGTCAGGCTGAGAACCAACTGTTCAAGAAAGCAAGATTCTGTAATCCTTTCTTGCCCTTTCACCCCACAAATTCGATTATGTCAGACATTTGGCCTGTTGAGAATAACTGTGAACTTGCTGGTGTGTACAGGGGGGATGAGCTGGGTGTATACTACTCTCCTGACTGGCTGTTTTCTGGCTGTTATTCAGATTGGATAGGAAAAGAGGCTGGTGGGGAAGGAATGGAGAGAGCAGGATCCCTGAATTCCCTGGATCCCAAACTCCTTGACTGTCACTTGTAATTGTATATAATTCTTTTTGTGTTTCTTGCTTCATTTCCTCATGCTGTCATTCTTAATCTAAAGTCCATGTGGGAAGGGGAAAATGCCAAACATCATTGTATAGTTTCCTCAACTGTCCCAGCCATGTTGTACATAGATATGTCATGTTATTATATATATAAATATATATATAATTTTGTACGTTTTCTTCATCTCCGATCTTCTCGAATTCTGTACTTTTTTCTTTTCTGTCTGAGCTGCTTTCTCTATTGGTCAGTTTGAGTCTTCAAGACTGATGTTCACAGTGAGTCTGGATTTAAGGAAAGAATAGAAGGAATAGGGAAATCAAACAAACTTTAGCCTTACACTCTCACTACCAGATCATCTTCAAGGTTAAGAAACTAAAAAGCTACAATTCTATATGTGCCACCTGTTTACATAGTATGAAGTACACAGCTTCCTTAGCAAGAATGGGTCATCTCATGATCCAAATACAGATTGCTTTGGTCAAACCTAGATTATTAAATACACTCAAAACAACATGTGCCTGGTCTGACCCTGGCCTCCACACAGTCACCACCTCTTCACTGTGCTGCCTCAGGCTTCACTGCAGCTGAGTGACTGTGGCCATGCCTCTGAAACCAAGCCTGCTCTGAGCCTGGCAGTTACTCCCCTGGAAACCAGTTATTTTGCTCTTGTCCAAAGAATTGTTTTTCTGTGTTTTCCATGGGTTTCTCCAAAACGTCAGGAAACATTCTATTTGTGGATAGGAATTATTTTTTAATTTTTGCAGTTCCCTTAAGGATAAGATTGAGGCATATACCAGGTAGCCTAATGATTAAGTGTGGAAGAATCATGGGATAGAGACTGGGATGGAATTCAAGGTTTTTCCCCTATTACTTGACAGTGTTTTGTTTTGTTTTGTTTTTTTCCTTCTGTGTTCGTCCACAGTGGCCAAGTTGAATGATGCTGCCTGGGGCTCCGCCAGATCCTGAGACGCTGCCCTCCTGGGTCCTGTGCTGGCTCCTGCCCCTCCCTGCTTTTGCAGCCAGGGGTCAGGAGGTGGCTTGGGCGTGGGCTGGAGAGGCAGAAGCCCCTGCCCATTGGTGTCCCAGCACATGGAGCCCCTTGGGCTGAGCACCAAGACCTTGAACCTTTTTTGTTTTACCTTTTTTTCCAAATAACTGTTGAGAAATCTCAATGAAATCTCATGGGTGGGGTTGAGAGGGTGGGTGGGAGATTTGGGATTTACAGTTGATAAAAACATTCCTGACAATCCTCCCTCTTAACCCAGTGGCTAATGTGGGGGAGATGTGAGGGGGAGGAAGTGGAGTAGACTAATGATAAGGGGTTCTAATTCAGCTCTGTAGACAGATGCCTAGTGTGGATAAACAGGCTGTTGATGTACACAGAGCAGATAGGCCCTCTGGTTCTGCAGAGCAAGACTCAATGTTAATTGTTCATTTAAAAAAAAAAAAAGTGCTTTCCTTGAAATAGATTTGCTATGGAGAGAAGGGTAGTGAATGTTGGGGAAAGGAGCCATGAGTGTGGGGAGCCCCACTGAGCCCAAGGGACTTTTTCAGTGTTTGAAATAAAAAACAACAAAAAAAGACCCATGAAAAAACCTAACCCAGAAATACTCTGAAGCAGTTGGTGTGTTTATTGGGGTTTGGGAAGGGGAAGAAAACCAGTGTGAAAACACTGTTCAGGGGAAAAGCTGGTGGGTGTCCCTGAATTTCTAAGGAACACAGAGACCTTTAATATGGGATATGGCTGGGCTGCCTGTTTCCATCATGTAGGAAAAGGGAGCATTCCTTTGGCATACAGACTTTTCTTAACCCCTATACATTTCTTAAGATGCATCAAACAAATGTAAGGTATTTGATCCAAATGGCTTGTTGACATAAAGCTTAGTCTAGACTCAGCAAAAAAGGAAGCCTATTCTTCCTTTTCCCTTTCAACTATCTTTTCCTTTGCAAGTTCCCATGCCTGTGAAGAAGAAATGTGTACTATTAGTAATAAACCAAAAGAATTTAAGTCTTTCTGCTTGTGGTCAGCAGAAGGCAGAGTGACTTCTTTCATCATGACATGCCAACCTGCATTTCTGGAATCCTGCCACTGAAAGGAGTTAAATGCTGCTTGTGAATGAAAGGTACTAAAGAAACATTAGCAAGGGAGAAACAACTCAGCTGCCCCTCCCTTCCACCACGCATCCACACCACCCCCCCCCATCCCCGTAGATACAAGTGGATAGAAACCACTGGCCCATTTAGCCTTCCTTTGATTAGGAGAGTTGATCATGGTTTTTTGGCCAAATGTGATTAGCTTTTGTACTGCTTATGCTGTGTGAGATAAACAAGGTCTGGGAGACAGATATTCTAGAGAAATCCCCATTGTGTTAAGGGATGGGGAGCACCTTGGAAACTGACAAAGGAATCTTGCTTTCAGCATCTGGCTGTTCCTACCTGCCCCCCAACCCCTGCCCTTTTTTTTTTTTTTTTTCTTAATCAGAAGCTTTCCAAATAAATTTTCAACTACTTGGGATGTTTCTGGCTTGCTCTCTCCTGATTTAGCCAGGGGATTGTGGTATATCCTAACCATATGTCTGTCAATTATTTATTTATTTAATTTTTGTGGTATTGGGGATTGATCCCAAGGCTGCATGCAAGTCAAGCATTCTACTACTAGGTTGTATTCCCAGCCCTTAATTTTTTTGAGACGGTCTCTTGTCTCACCAAGTTGCCAAGGCTGGACTTTAACTTTCAATCCTGCTACCTCAGCCTCCTGAGTAGCTAGGATTGTAGGATGCCTGGTCGCATCTGCCTTTATGAGCAGCAGGCTAGTCCTTAAGTGAGCAAGGTGGTATGCAGGTATATTAATCTTTATTTTTTGGTACTGGGGATTGAACCAAGGGCCCCTTTACCTCTTAGCTATATCTCCAGCCCTTTTTACTTTTGAGACAGCGTTTCGCTAAATTGTGTAGGGCTCTTCTTGGTGTCCTCCTGCTCAGTTTTCTGAGTTGCTGGGATTACAGGTATGTGCCATTGCTCCCAGTGGCATGAAGATACATTTAAAAGCACTCTCTCTCATTGTGAAGTTTATTGTCTAGCTGAAAGAAAGTGATATGTGAAAAAGTTGTTTTAACGGTTATAAACAAGTCTTAAAAAGCTATATATTCTAGAGATGCAAATTAATTTATTGTTTATCATGGTGGATTGGTGAATGTTCTCAATCCCATGACTTCTTTCTGAGTACATAATCCCTGGTGTAAGTTTGCCAAGTGGATAGGCTTCGGGATGAGGTCAGAGAAGCTGAATGTGGGATCATTTAGGTAGTGAAATTTCATTTTAATACAGGTGAGGAAGTTGAGTTATAAAAATAAGTTACTTGGGCTGGGGATGTGGCTCAAGCGGTTGTGCGCTTGCCTGGCATGTGTTCGGCCCGGGTTCGATTCTCAGCACCACATACAAACAAAGATGTTGTGTCCACCAAAAACTAAAAAATAAATATTGAAATTCCTTCTCTCTCTCAAAAAAAATAATAAGTTACTTGGTGGGACTGGGGTTGTGGCTCAGTGGTAGAGAGCTTGCCTAGCATGTGTGAGCACTGGGTTCAATCCTCAGCACCACATAAAAATAAATTAAAAACATAAAGTCATTGTGTCCATTTAAAAAAATAATAAGTTACTTGGGCTGGGGTTGTGGCTTGGTGGTAGAGCACTTGCCTAGTATGTGTGAGGTACTGTGTTTGATTCTTAGCACTTCATGTAAATTAATTAAAAGTCCATCAGTATCTAAAAAAAAATTTTTTTTTAATAAGTTACTTGTAGGGCTGAGGATATAGCTCAGTTGATAGAGTGCTTGCCTCACATGCACAAGGCTCTGGGTTCAACCCCCAGCACCACCAAAAAAAAAAAAAAAAAATGTTACTTGTAAAGTGGCCAGGCAAGTTAGCTGAAGAGCCTGAGTACTAACTCAGATTTTTATATTATTTGGGTTTCCTTGTCCTTAATTTTAAGCTGTAGCTTTGGTAATCTTGAGTACCAAGAAATGTTTGTGGGTACTTATATTTCTGTTTGAAACTTGACATTTATTTTCCTTTACTCCCATATTACATACTCTCATATTCTGAAGAGCTAGGCAGCCAAGGAAAATGAATTCTGCAGAGCTTCAGATAATTATTCCTACTTGATATGTTAGTTAGGCATTTTCCAAAATCTATCATAGAGTTAAGCCAAAGACTCTTCTGCTCCAGCATGGTTGGGTAGTGATCATGCTGAGAAGCTCTTGGCTGAGCCATCTTTATGGCAGCAGGAATGGAGTCACCATGATTGTCCAGCAGCATATTAAGCTTGTGTAACCTGGGCATAGAAAAGGCAGACAAAAGAAAAATAGCTCTTCTCTGTACATGTATTGGGATCTGTTCTACCCTAGAGATAAAAGGACAATATTGGCATAGTTCTGAAACTAAGGGAAGGAGAGTCAGGAAATGAGTTGTCAGCTGGATGTTATTAGAGATGGATGACTTATTAGTAAAGATAATGTAAAACTTCCTATGCTTGTGAATATTTTAATTTACAAATAATTGTTGACTACTCACTTTTGGATTGCAAATGTTAGCTGTTATTGAGTAGATAAACAAAGTAAGAGATGCTGTCTACCCTACAAGAACGTGTATAGCTTTACTGGAATTACAACTTGTAATGCAAGATAGTGTATGATTAATCAGGCAGTAGAATTCTAAGAAGGGAAAAATCCATCTGGACTTCTAGGTAAATATTAGTGAAGGAAATAGAAATCGAACTGGGCCTTGAAAGGTAGGTAGTATTTAAATAATACAGTAATCATTTAGTAAGTGGCCACAATATGTGAGGCACTAAAATGCAAGGTGAGTGATATAGATTAGCTTTTTTTTTTTTTTTTTTTTTTTGGGTACTAGGGAGATTGAACTCAGGGACACTCGACCACTGAGCCAAATCCCTAGCCATATTTTGTATCTTATTTAGAGACAGGGTCTCACTGAGTTGCTTAGCTTCTCACAGTTGCAGAGGCTGGCTTTGTAAATGCTTCTTTCAAGAAGATTATACTCTAGTGGGAAACACACAAGTGAACAAACAATCTCTTATTACAGTGTTAAACTTGCAGCAGTGGAGGTGCAACTATGTAGAGGAATAGGGTTGTGTAATTAATAATAATTGCATAGTCTTTTAATTAATATGTGTCAAGCCCCATACTAAGTGCGTAATTTAGATTATTTTATTTAATCCTTACAACAGTTCTATGATATAGGTACTCCTTTTTTTGGGGGGGTGCTAGGGATTGAACTCAGGGGTACTCAACCACTAAGCCACAGTCCCCAGCCCTACTTTGTATTTTATTTAGAGACAGGGTCTCACTGATTGTTTAGAACCTCGCTTTTGTTGAGGTGGCTTTGAATTCATGATCTTCCTGCCTCAGCCTCCAGAGCTGCTGTGATTACAGGTATGCACCAGCACCCTGGCTCCTTTTTTTTTCTTTTTTTTTTAAATGTAAGCATTCTTACTATTTCCATTATACAAAAGAGAAAGCTAAGACAAAAAAAATTCCCTTTAAAAGGAGAAAAGAGGAGGCTGGGGTTGTGGTTTAGTGGTAGAGTACTTGCCTCATGCATGGGGCACTGGGTTTGGTCCCCAGCACCACAGAGAGAGAAAAAAAAATTAAATTAACAAAGCTGTTGTGTCCATCTACAACTAAAAAAAAAAATTTAGGAAAAAAATAAAGGAGAAGGGCTGGGGCTGTAACTTAGCGGCAGAGCACTTGCCTAGCTGGCATGAGGCACTGGGTTCTATCCTCAGCACCACATAAAAATAAACAAATAAAATAAAGGCATTCTGTCTGTCAACAACTACAAAAATATAAAAATAAAAAAGGAGAAAAGAGAAGAAAAAACAGGAAAAATTATTTTTCCCAAGCCCAAGTCATGCAGCTTCTTTTTTCTTTCCTTTTTTTTTTTTTTTTTTTTGGTACCAGGGATTGTACCCCAAGTGTACTTACTTAACAACTGAGCCACATCCCAAGCCCTTGTTAATTTTTTGAGACAAAGTCTAACTAAATTACTGAGTCTGGCTTTGAACTCCTGATCCTCTTGCCTCTACCTCCCAAGTCACTGGGATTATAGGCATGTGCCATCATGCCTGGCAGAGATTATCCATTTGATTTAACCTTTTTGAGACCAATTTTAATAGACTGGTGAGATAGAATCTGGCTTGTAGAAATGAGTGATGTGGGAAGGTATTTTTTGTTTTAGAATGAAAATAAGGAATATTTGTTGGCTGAGCAAAAAAAATAAAAGTTGAAATTCAAACAGAGGGGCTGGGGATGTGGCTCAAGCGGTAGCGCGCTCGCCTAGCATGCGTGTGGCCCGGGTTCGATCCTCAGCAGCACCACATACCAACAAAGATGTTGTGTCCGCCGAGAACTAAGAAAAAATAAATAAATGTTAAAATTCTCTCTCTCTCTCTGTCTCCCTCTCTCTCACTCACTCTTTAAAAAAAAAAAAAAAAATTAATACAACCACTCTGGAAATGGTTGTATAAAAAAAAAAAAAAAATTAATATCTTTAAAAAAAAAAAAAAAAAAAAAAAAGAAATTCAAACAGAATGGTAATAAACAAAAAGCAAGGTTCTTAAAGATAAAGGAGAACATGCAATAAGAGCAGCACAGTAGATGTGGTTCAATTACACAGTAGTCCAGTTCAGCAAGCATTTGTTGAGCACTTACTGTGTGCCAACCTCCATATTAGTGTGAGACTGGTTGGGAAGCCAACTCAGTAAGCAATTAGTCTCATCCTGCTTGAGATTGAAGGTGAAAACAGAACATGGATAAATTCCCAGATGTTTGTGATTAGGGGGTAAGTAATCAAAAGGAGTCCTTGTCTGACAATTAATTTTCTTTGTAAAGTAGGATGTTGAGTTTTTGGTTGGGAATTAGGCAGGGAGTTTAAGAATAGTAGCCAAGCTGCTCTCCCTCTGGAGATGGCCAGCATTCTCTCTTGAATAT